GTTCAGAAGTGCCAGTGCAGCCAGTCCTGCGGTTTGGGTTTTAAATCCTTGGCAGTCCAGTTCATGCCTCTTGTACCCACCTCCCATCCCCTATCTGATGGCCCCTCAGAGCCCAGATCCTGCTCTCCCTCTGTTCCTGCCTCTGAGCTGTTCTCAGGCCATGCCAGCACATTGGGAAAGGTCTGTGAAACACAATTCCTGGTGATAAGGGTCCCCTCTCTGTTCTACACCTGGTCTGGACACTTTAGGGTAGTCCCAGGCTGCTTCTCTGGTCTCAGTGCCCATGAGCACATGGAGAAGGTTTTTGCTTGGTTTCATCAAAAAGCAATCCCTGACTCTTTCCCACCTTCCTGACTGCTCATTCTGCAAGATTTCCTCCTCCCAGCCTTCTCCAGAAGGTCAAAGGACCATGTCCTTGCTCATCTTACCTCTCCTATCCCTATCTGCATAACACAATCTGCAAACAGATTATGTACTGCCATCAAACAACACCTCACAAATCTTTTCTGGCCCTTTCCCATCCAAAGACGAATCCTATTCCACATTCCCAGTATCTCCTGCAGATAACCAGCTCTCAGTTCAACGAGACAGAGTTCTCCCTATCCTTAATTTCTTTTTTTAAAGACAGATCTTTCCTGTTTTATACACAGTTGCCTTTTTCTATGCTTTGCCAATTCTCGACTCTGACTCTACACTTTACACTAAACTGACACCAGTGGTTTTTCCTGTAAAAGTTTATTTGTAAACAAAATTTGACATTTATTATAAAAAGTCCATAATACATCATAAAACAAAGACATCTGAAAAATAAGAGCTGGAGTTGGCTTCACATGGGCTCACTCCCTTTTTGCCATCTTGCAGAAATTCAGAGCCCCTGAAGCTTGCTGAAAATACCAAAGAAAAACAATATTTAGGGTTTTTTCCCCAAAGATAGTTCACAATACTATTCTATGTCTTGCTCTATTAAAGACTTGATAATGTTTTAAACTATTTAAAGACCTAAAGTATGGTATTTTTTATATTCAAATAAAGGTTACATGGGCTGATTCATTATTAATTCCCTTGGAAGGCTTCTGTAACAAGGCAAGAAACCATAAGACAAGATAAATCTATGCTTTTCCTATGGGGTTATACCATCATTATTTCAAACAGGCAAATTTTCATCCATTGTAAGGCCTTTGATACTTTTAATACTTTTTAGTGTTGCAGCTGGTCTTTTTCCAGTCAGTGGAAGGCCACAGTTGGAATGAATAAGTACAGATTTAAAACTATGTGAAATCAGAGCATGAAAGTGGCTTCTGGGCTTGAAGATGATCACAAAATGAACCAAGAATTGTTCCTAAATTTAATTAAGTTATGTAACAAGCATCATCCCCAGAAACAAATCTGTTTCCCAATCAGGTTTCAATCGTTGAAAATCATACAGTACAGTCATCTTTCACTTTACTTCTGCTTTCTGCTTCCCATCATTGATATTTGAATGCAATTTCTAAATTTATTACTTCTGGGCATTTGGATTTCTTACCCTGCCTAAGTATGAAGCATAAGTCAGTTAAATTGATAAAACATTCGCTTCTCTTTATGTTATCCATTTTCTGTGTTCCTCCTGATAATCAGGGAGTCAGAACATAAGGAAACACTTCATTTTATATGAGCAAGTGAATAGATTTACCTGTCTTCGACTGTCTTGTTGGAGGGGTAGAACACCTTGAACGAAAATCCGCTTCTTGGAAACGAACCCTGTGAAGGAAAACGTACAAACCACACTCGTGTAAGTGAAACACCGACCAGATGGTGAGAGACACGTTGGGAGGCAACTGTGGCCGCTTTTTATTTCGGGAAGGCCCCGGGGAACCTTACGGGGTTGATGCAGAGGCAGTCGGTGTGGGTGACAGTGAAGGGGTCGTGTTTATCTGCCACGACGAGCACGTCTGGCACGGGATAAACCCTCAGGGAGTAGTCGTAGGCCCAGTACACGGGGCTGACGTACAGCGGGAGCGGGGTCAGGTGGCCCTGGGACAAAATGGTCTTCACAAACTGCAAGGGAAGCAGAAATCGTGGGTTTGAAGGCTTTTTTTTTTTTCCCAAGTCGAATTCATTCCTACAGATGCCAATGCTTGTAATAAAGAAGCTTTGAACTTGAAGGTGTTTTCTTTTTTTTTTTTTTTTGTATCTGACTCCCTCTGATCGTTAATAATTTCTGGAGTGAAGAAGCAGCTCCCCTACAGCACTCAGCTGCTCTTTTCATTTTTGTGTTGTGGGGTTTTTCGATACACAAAGTCCTTTCTAAAGCATATCAGGCAATATTTGAAGATATCAAGACTACTCTCCAAGAAAATCTTCCTACCTGTTCCTCCAGCCCAGGAAGTACCAACAATGCCATAAACTTCATTTTATAGATTGGTTTTTTTCCCCTCATGGCTTTCCTTACAGTATCAGTTAACAACAAAATCCACACTTTAACAGTCTTTCCCCTGAACCGAGGAAATAATTTGATTCCCAAATGATTTCGATTCCTTTCTTAGCAACAAAATTTCCCACATTTTTTTTTTGAATTAAAAAAAAAAATAGTGTGAGGGCCAAAAAAGGCAGAGATAAAGTGGAGTATGCAAAAGCATCTGCAGAAAGGGTTGCAGTACATAATTCTA